TTTCTTTGATAATGCGCTTGATTTCAGCGATCATCAGGGCGCTGACGCACACTGTTATGGCTTGCTTAGCTAGGTTTCCGATCTAGGTGGGGGGGATCCGAACATACTCTCTTTGCGGATCAGGGAGTCATTTCGATAGTTGGAGTTGTTCGCATACCGGGCAGACGCACTGCGGCCGTCTCCGAGAGATCGAAAATCGAATTCTAGCGACTATGTAAGTAAACGGTAGGTCGCTAGCGAAGCTGTGTAGCTTTTCTCACCTAGGAACTCATGTCCAAACCGCCCAGAATGACCTGAGCTGGACGCGGATTGTCAGCAGCTGAGGCGACCTGGGCCATAGAGAGTATTCTTACTAGTAGCGAACGTAGAAAGTCTCATTCGAGTTTGCCATATTCGCTCCAGTCTTCCTCTAGCAAAAGCGTGGTGGTATCTGGTTGCTCAATTCGGTTTTACCCAGCCCGCAGAGAGGAGACTTCGACTGAAGTGGTTGCAGCCTGCTTAGTCATTCACACACTGGCCCCCGTAGCCGCAACCTTCTTCCAAATGGACAGGGTGGACATTGGCCCAGCACCGCGAAGATATATCAGTTCCCCTATCCACTCTCCTCCAATTGCCCTGCACCGGCGCAGATGATTGTTCGGACTAAGGCGGGGACCAGGCACATTGTCACGATTTCCTATCCAGGCTCTACTTCGCCAACTCGTCGCCGTATGTTTTCCTGAGCCTCCCTAGAACTAACGGGAACGCCCAGCTGACATTCTCCCCGCCAGCCTCACCCTGACTTGGTCCGCATATATAGATACCGCCTTTCCAGCCTGACTGTCTGTCGATTAGCAAGCCGCAGCGGAGAACAGCAAAAATGGCGTCGTATCTGGAAAATGCGTACAGCTTGGTGCATCAGGACAATACTGCTGACCAACCTACCCTGCAAGACCTGAAGACGCAGCTGGAGAAAGGAACAGATGAATCCAAAATAGACACCATGAGACGGATATTGGTTGTGATGTTGAACGGAGACCCGATGCCCCAACTTCTTATGCATATCATTCGCTTCGTCATGCCATCCAGGAGCAAGACGCTGAAGAAACTACTCTACTTCTACTACGAGATCTGCCCGAAGCTGGATAGCAATGGCAAATTGAAGCAGGAGATGATCTTAGTCTGGTATGATATTGGACCATGCCTCGCAATGTTTTATATAGGATATTAACAAACGACTACCCTGCATAGTAACGGCATCCGGAATGACCTACAGCATCCTAACGAATATATCCGCGGCAACACGCTCCGATTCCTGTGCAAACTTAAAGAACCCGAACTCCTTGAACCACTCCTGTCCTCTACGCGTTCCTGCTTAGATCATCGACATGCATACGTGCGGAAAAATGCTGTTTGGGCGGTTGCCTCCATATTCCAACACTCCGAGTCTCTGATTCCCGATGCTCCAGAACTCATCCAGACGTTTTTGGCATCGGAGACTGACCACACCTGCAAACGCAACGCTTTTGCCGCGCTTCATACTGTCAGCCATCAAAAGGCACTAGAGTATCTTAACTCTACTTTTGACAGTGTACCAAACGCAGATGAATTACTTCAGCTCGTCGAACTAGAATTTATCAGAAAGGATGCAATCCAAAATACCCAGAACAAGGTTGGTGCCCCCTTTTATTGAAAATTTTCGTGGGCTAATAAAGTTATGTAGGCCAAATATCTCCGACTGATTTTCGATCTCTTGGAGGCAGGGGCTAGTACCGTTGTTTATGAAGCAGCAACATCGCTCACGGCACTCACGAGCAATCCGGTAGCGGTCAAGGCAGCTGCCTCAAAATTAATCGAGTTGAGCATCAAAGAGGCTGATAACAATGTGAAGCTGATTGTGCTCGACAGAGTCGACCAGCTGCGGATACGGAATGAAGGCGTGCTAGATGACCTCACAATGGAAATTCTGCGAGTTCTATCAAGTCCAGATATCGATGTTCGTCGAAAAGCGTTGGGCATTGCAATGGAAATGGTGTCTAGCAAAAACGTCGAAGAAATCGTCATGCTCTTGAAGAAGGAACTGGCTAAAACGGTTGACGAACAATATGAAAAGGTATTAACAACCAACTTTAACTCATATTTCCAATTGAATATCGCAGTTTAACTAACATACTACAGAACAACGAATACCGACAACTACTTATCCAATCGATACATCAGTGTGCGATTAAATTTTCTGAAATTGCAGCCAGCGTTGTTGATCTTCTCATGGACTTCATCGTTGATTTTAACAACAATTCTGCTGTCGATGTGATCTCTTTCGTCAAGGAAGTAGTTGAGAAGTTTCCTAAGCTGCGAGCGTCCATTATCGAGCGTCTAGTATCCACACTCAGCGAGGTACGGGCAGGCAAAGTCTATCGGGGTGTTCTGTGGGTAATTGGAGAATACTCCCTTGAAGCCAACGATATTAGAGAAGCTTGGAAGCGCATTAGGGCTAGCCTCGGAGAAATTCCGATTTTGGCTTCTGAGCAACGCTTACTCGACGACGTTCCCAAAGAAAACGGTCCGCCGAAGGACCAAGTGAACGGCCATCCCAAGCCATCTGCTCCAACAGGTTCGAGGAAGGTATTAGCAGACGGCACATATGCTACTGAGAGCGCACTTACCAGCCAGTCCAGTGAGGCTGCCAGATTAGAAGCAGTCAAAGCAGCACAGAAACCCCCGCTCCGACAGCTTATCCTCGATGGTGATTATTTCCTTGCCACTGTCTTGTCATCGACCCTGACAAAACTGGTCATGAGACATTCTGAGGTCTCCCAAGATTCCGCTCGTACCAATGCTCTTCGCGCTGAAGCAATGCTCATCATGATCTCGATAATTCGGGTCGGCCAATCTCAATTTGTCAAAGCCCATATCGACGAGGACTCCGTGGACAGAATCATGTCCTGTGTTCGATCCCTTGCTGAGTTTGCCCAGCACAAGGAATTAGAAACGACTTTCCTTGAAGATACAAGACAGGCGTTCCGCGCTATGGTTCAGGTCGAAGAAAAGAAGCGCGCAGCCAAAGAAGCAGACGAGAAAGCCAAGGCGGCTGTCCAAGTCGACGACACAATCCCCATCCGCCAGCTCGCTAAGAAATCTACCGAAGAAGGAGCTGACGAAATTGAACTTGATCTTGCCAAGGCCACTGGTGGTGACTCCACTTATGAAGACCTATCATCTAAGCTCAGTCGGGTTGTACAACTAACTGGGTTCTCCGACCCAGTCTACGCTGAAGCGTATGTCAAAGTTCACCAGTTCGACATAGTTTTGGACGTCCTGCTCGTCAATCAAACGACAGAGACCCTGCAAAACTTGTCGGTAGAGTTTGCAACCCTTGGAGACCTCAAGGTGGTTGAGCGCCCGACAACGCAGAACCTCGGCCCACATGATTTCCTAAACGTACAAGCAACCGTGAAGGTTTCATCGACAGATACTGGCGTGATTTTTGGAAACGTAGTCTACGATGGAGCTAGCTCGACGGAAACCCATGTGGTCATCCTGAACGACGTTAAAGCAGATATCATGGACTATATACACCCAGCTCACTGCACTGAAACCCAATTCCGTACGATGTGGACAGAATTCGAATGGGAAAACAAAGTTAATATCAACTCCAAGGCGAAATCGCTGAGAGAGTTCCTTCACCAACTTATGGAGAGCACAAACATGAGCTGTTTGACACCAGAGGCATCGCTTGAAGGGGACTGTCAATTCCTGAGCGCCAATCTTTATGCCCGAAGCGTCTTCGGTAAGTTTTTTTTTTTTTTTTTTTTTTTTTTTTTTTTTTTTTTTTTTTTTTTTAATTCACATCTCTTCATTTTTTTCGCCCCATCCCTTTTTTAGTCTCCATAACTTGAGGACCCTCAACTAACAATATTGTTTTATTGTTCTTCTAGGCGAGGATGCGCTTGCAAATCTCAGCATCGAGAAACAAGGCGAGGACGGGCCGATTACTGGGTTTGTACGGATCCGAAGTCGGTCACAAGGGCTGGCGTTGAGTTTGGGGTCTCTCAAAGGTCTAAAGGCCAATGCTGTTTAATAATGACCAAAAGGATGTTTTTATATTTCTCGTCAAGTTGCAACTCTTCACTTAAACTAGCGGCTTTCTTCCCCTTTGTTTTCTTTTATTGCTTTTTTTCTTCTTTAAGTGTCCAATCTTGTCAGTACCTATCTTCTCTTCCTCTCTTTCTTGCTACTTACTTAACGGCAATTACTATTTGTTTTCTTTTTCCTCACGTTTTGCTCCGAGGTATCGTACTTACAATGTTGTGCGCCTCTTTGGAAGCGTGATACCAGAATGTGCATGTGTGTGCGGGTGTCTCCAAAATCTTCCTCTGATATAACTGGCATCATCCTTGTCCAATGTCGAATATTAATATTAATATTTTTATTTTCGACTCCTCTTATTCGTCTCATTCCACCCCTTCATATTTATTTTATTGGAAGAATATAAAACCACAACAGGGAGGGAATTTTTATACCATCATTATCATTAGGTGGAAGATAGCTCGAGGAAAACCAAAAGCAATAGAGGATAAAAAATGGAAATTATATAACGATATCAGACGGGAGGGAGTCTTTTCAGATGGTCCTAATTAGTGCTCTATTCCACAACACATACGGGCTGGCCATCGGATCTCTTATAGTGCGCGGTCGGGTCGTTCGTCTGTACAGTACAACAACCTGCCAGACAGGAATGCCGACAATTTCCTTTTCGGGAAGTATTCGGCGAAATCTTGGTCTATAGTTATTGTATGCCCTTAAAAATCCGGTTTGGCTGTGATTTACTCCTGGTAAAAAGGATACAGCCCGATTGCTATTCGAGAGCGATAGTTATAATTTACCTAGGTATCGCCGCATGTTGTTGAAGACACATGCAAGGCTAATGACCATCGCATGCGGCAACTTCTGGCTTGGAGATGACATAATCGAAATGCCAAAGTGCCGAACAATCAATTCAACTTTCTATATCTTTTCTTTTTCTACCAACCGCTATTCTTCCAATCAGGACAACCATCGCCAAACCAACCCCAGTGTTAGTGCCGGGTTAATCGCGGTACTTTTGTTCCTTGCGCAGTAAGCACATGCTTACCAAGTCCAAGCCCCTGCCTGGCCTTGGGATTCTCAGGCTTGTCTCGGTGTCTCCCTGGATATATAAACATGCCGCGCTCCCGCAGCTTATCCGGCTGAGCTCCTCCGTACAGACTAGTGATATCGCAGACTGAAACAGGCGCAAACTGGGCCCTACCTAGTAGCCGGTACCGTCGGAAAGGCTGTGGACTACCTTTATCAGTTTTCTCCTCGACGCGCTACCATTCGTGCCAGCCGACTACAATCCATCCCATCGCCCCCTTCCACTCTCTCCTCTTACTCCTTATTACTCATTGTTTAGAGCATCCCTATCGACAGACTTCCCTCTTTGCCAAATACTCTCATAATGCTAGCGCAATCTATTAAGCTATGACTATTGGCGCCCCCGTTCTCGATGCGGGCCCTTCCGGCAACAAGGGGACACAGTCAGTCGTGGAGGACGTCCTCCATCCCAACTCAGACAGCAGCGCAACGCTGGAGGTGGGGAAAACTGCCCTCTTGACTCTGGCAGCTGATGCGATTATTGTTACAGGTAAGTTAACGTGCATCCTAGGGTGCTAGATACCCGGATCCCAAGAAATTTTGCGAGCAGTGCTTTGACATAGTGGGCAACGTTTTCTTTGTAGATGAAGGGCTGAGGTCAAAGTCACAACGCCGTTGCTGCAGTTTTCCTATTCCTCGTACGATTTACCACTCTCCCAGGTTTTTAGATTCTCAGGTTTCTTCAATTTTTCTTTTCAATTTCGGTATTTATTCTGTCTGACTTCTCTCCTCCTTTGAAGAGTCTTCAGGAACACTGACGACGCGATCTATTCCGTATACCAATATCCTCTGGGCTGAGGTTTCTCATGACTATATTACAATTGAATATGCCCACCAAGTTACTAACACAGATGTCGCCCTCCGTTCAGTATATTTTCCAGTCAGCCTCGAGCAGAAATCAAAAGCCGAAACGTGGACTGAGAAACTTCTCGACTTAGCGTACGGCAAAGCGCAGCGGCAGAAACGGATTAAAGTCCTCATAAACCCCTTTGGTGGAAAAGGTCGCGCTGCAAAATATTACTATAAACACGTAAAGCCCATTTTCGCTGCTGCGAAGTGCCGAGTGGATGCCGAATTGACAAATTACCGAGGACACGCAGTCGACATAGTGGAGAAACTTGATGTCGATGCATATGACGTTATCGCGACTTGTTCGGGAGACGGCATACCTTACGAGGTGTTCAATGGCCTAGCCAAGAAACCAAATGCAAGCGAAGCTCTGCGGAAAATCGCTGTAGCAAACCTACCGTGCGGATCAGGGAACGCAATGAGCTGGAATCTCAATGGAACAGGTAGTGCCAGTCTTGCGGCTCTGTGGATTGTCAAGGGTTTGAGAACGCCCCTTGATTTAGTATCCATCACTCAAGGCGATAAACGCACAGTGTCGTTTTTATCTCAGTCCTTTGGTATTGTAGCTGAATCAGACCTGGGAACCGAAAATATCCGGTGGATGGGCCAAGCGCGCTTCACATACGGATTCCTAGTACGACTTTTTGGGAAAACAGTCTATCCCTGCGACCTGGCTGTTAAGGTTGAACTCGACAATAAAGAACAGATCAAAGATCACTACCGCGCCGGTTCAGAAAGAAAAAGCTTTGAGCAATTACGCGGTGAAGAATCATCAGACTGTGTCGGTCTCCCACCCCTCCGCTATGGCACCGTAAACGATCCACTCCCCGAAGGCTGGACTCTGGTACCACACGACAAACTGGGAAATTTCTACGCAGGAAACATGGCATACATGGCTGCGGACGCCAACTTCTTCCCTACCGCTCTCCCCAACGATGGGTGTATGGACCTCATCACAATTAATGGCGATATCAGTCGAAGGACTGCTCTTCAAATGCTTATGGCTGTTGACAATGGCACACTCTTCGATATGCCCGAGGTCAATGTGCGGAAAGTTACAGCCTACAGAATCATCCCCAGAGACCGGAAGGATGGATATATCAGCATTGATGGGGAGCGGGTACCGTTTGAACCATTTCAGGCGGAAGTTCATAGGGGCCTTGGAACCGTACTATCCAGATCTGGGTACAGATATGAGACTATCGGTTTGAAGTGAGGACGATCAGTGAAATTCCAAGATTTTCATCGATTTTTCTCTTAACTTTTTTTTATCCCTTTCCTTTCACTTTCCCTTTTCTTCCCCCTGAGATAATGCTGTTTCTACATATCCCCCCTATCTTATCTTTATTCTGCGATACCTTATCCTTTTTTGTATTCCCCCAATGCGATGCATTAGACTATGGGTTTGAGTTTTCTATATGGTCTTTTGTTGTGATAAAACATCCATTCCTTTTTTCCTAATATTTTTCCTCCTTGGCTACTTCACTTCCCTTCTTCTCACCGATGTCACCAAAGTTACCCTTATTCACTCCACCAATCCCTCAGCCAAACACCCCTTTTAGAAACAGGATCGTTCCGTCCTTCCTTCTCCTTCTCCTTCTCATTCTTTTCCAATTTCCATTTTATTTATATAAGCATTCTGTACACTGCGTCCCATTCTTTGCATTTCTTTTTTCTCTTAGCTGTGGATAAACACCTAGCGATAAGCACAGGCTTTTTTTCAAATTCTTTTTTCATGAAGAGTGAATTGTACGGGATGGTAGGATTCGTTTCTCAATAGGTTTATTGAGTGTGGTGGTACACTTCTTTTCCCTTTTTTCGCAGCGCGATTTTTCCTTTTCTTCGAGATGGCATTTCACACACCCCTACCCTCCCCGGGGAACCGGGCGAGGAATCTATCTGCCCAAACTACATTAGTTGAAAGACATGGGCTAGTGCTCTTGTTCTCGCATGTATCTAATGCTCTTCTATGTATATATTCTTTACATGACTAGAACATCCATACATGCTCATTCAAGGGGCTGGGTAGTGGATACAGATAGGAAATGTGAAATAACTAACTAACCCCTTCTATCATGGCAAAGGGGGTTACCTAGTCACATTTAACACCACAAAAGTTCTAAAGAACAAGGCCAAATAAACACCGGCAAATGAATGATTCAGAATAATAGAAAGGGAAAAAAAAAAAAAAAAAATCACCCATCAATGCCTCCCCATTCTTCCTCATCGTTGTCGTCGTCGTCGTCGTCATCGTCATCCTTCTTCTCCCTCACCCCCCACTCCACCAACCTCTCATCATCTAATACCTCCCCAGCCCGCTTTCTAACCAGCTTCGAAATGCTCTTCCGCTGAAGCCCAACAATCGGACGAAGAAGTAACTCCATCGGCACCCCCTGTTTCAACCGCTTCTTCGTCTTCTTCTCCTTCGTACCATCATTATCCCGCCCCTCAGCATCATCATCATCATTGCCATCCTCCTCAGTGTCCCCCTCAACCTCAACAACAGCAACCTTCTCAATCTCATCCAGCCAAATATCCAATAAATGATACCGAAGCCCATCGGGACCCTTATGCATTCGCACAGCAGGGTCCTCGGCGCCATCGTCACCAGCCGGGTCAAAATTAATAGGACACAGCGGGCCCTCCTCCAGCATATCAAGGTATATCCCTAGCTCCTTCCAGACCCCCGAGTCACCCGACTCAGCATCCGCCTCCCCATTTTCATCCACCTCCCCACCCCTCTTTCGCTTCCCTAGACTCCCTTTCTTCTTGCCAGCGCTCTTCTCTTTCCCTGTCCCGTTCCCTTTCCCGTTCCCCTGCCCCTCCTTCGCTTCCCCCTCTACCCCCGCCAGCCCCTTCTTCAAAAACACATCAAACGCAACACCCACATAACACCGTATCAGATAGAGATATTTATCCAGCCGCAGTCTATCCAGCGAGTGGAAGTCACGCGACATGGTTATCCAGAATGCGCGCAAGAATGGTTGGAGGGTTTGTTCAGGGAGAGAGGGGACGAGGGCGTAGGAAAGGGAGCGGGAGAGGGATTGTTGGGTGAGAGGGCGGTCGGAGTGGTAGAAGCCTGTTGAAAAGGGATTTCATATTTTTGGTTAGTAATTGGGTGGATTGGGGTTGGCGGGTTTTTTCATTTGGCGTTCTCAATTTTGGAAGACCCGGAGGGGGAGGAAAAGTCCGAAGGGGGCGCATACAGTAAAATAACCCCTTCCATATCTTCAATAGCTCGACAAGTTGCAGGCCTATCCGGCTTTGAATGAAGCGGGTTAGGGATTCAAGGGCCTTGTCACGGGTTCGTTTATCTGGAGAGACGAGTGACGAGAGTTAGTCTTTCTGATCTCTCGTAGATTTGATTCGCAGAGTATGTGCTTAGAAAAAAAAAAAAAGAAAAAAAAAAGAAAAAAAAAAAAATCGAAAGATACAATTGGGGATTCCCTCTTACGAGGTCGCATTTAGATAAATGCATTAAAAATTCAAGTCAACATACCACTGGAAGCTAACTCCCGTACGAACGGAGTTTGCGCGATTTTATCCATCCCGACTTATAAAACTGAAAAGGAGAAGAAGACGAAAAAGAAGCGGCGCAAAACGACAACTCCCCTGCTGCTCTCACTCCGCCTTCTTCGAAGATACAGAATATACCAGTGAAAAATAAAGTAATAAAACCTGAAGGAGAGCGAAAGATGAGATGGAAAATATGGTCCGCGCGGCGCACAACTGGAACGGCTATATATATAAGTCGCGGAGTATTATATGTCTCCCCGGGGTATTCTCGTAGCTCTTTGCTACTTCGATTGAGGGCGTGGTCGATGCGTTGTATTGGGGCAATCAATTGATTCACAACTCCTCCTCCTACATATCAGGTGGTTCAGAATTGGAGCCGTTAACTATATATGTATATATATATATATGTATTTTTCTACCACGGCCTGAGGTAGCTAAATGTTTTTATTTTTTCGATATTGGTTGACTGTTTGCTCTGTTTGCTGCGCCTGTCTTGGCGTTATAGTCCTTGAGTTGATCGGAAGTATGGAGGACAGAATACAAACCTAGCTAAAAAGAAAATTATAATATATTCAGGGGAAATGAAAAGAATATCTTGAAGCGGGAGGAAGAAAAGACGGAAAAACAAAGAAGGGAAAGGAAAAAAAAAAAAAAAGAAAAAAAAGAAGGAAAGGTCTCACTGGGATTCGAACCCAGGTTATCGGAAGTTTTGATATGGTCGTCAAAATCCGATGTCATAACCACTAGACCATGAAACCGTCGGAACAACTGCTGGACGCTAGTCCCAATAGTTTAAGTATCATTATTCACACCATGATATATATCACAGGTTATGAATGCTTAGATGTTTTTTTTAATCGTACGTATTATTATTGATGTATGTGGGAATGGTTTGGGAGGCAAAAGTGAACGCCCTGTTGCGAGGGTCGGACAATAACAGACTGTACAAGTTTGGGCAAAGACATGCGTAGAGGAGTAGAAATGAATTTGAAAAAATTTGACATATGTGCCCCCAAAAAAGGGTGCGACAATTACCCGGATCATGGTGAAGCATTTTATATACTGATCAGAGAGAACAAAGGTAAAAAGCAACAAAGAATAAAAAAAAGAGGGAGGGCCGGAGAAATCATTTAGCTGAAGCATGGGGTTATTATTGTGCAGTATCAAACAAACTTTGATTAGAAAAGGGATGGGAAGGAACAGGGGTAGAAGCATTATATGTCGAATATGGCAAAGTACTAGGTCATATCGCAATTGGAAGAGGAAGAAAGTAAACGATGGGGAAAGCTGATGGCATATATCATGGGCAATCGAAATTTGTTCTTGCGTTGCCGTCGGAGCGGAATAAAAACTCAGAAACGCTGCGCAGAATATAGGGAATAATATTTGAAACTCGTAATGAAAGGAGGCCGGAGGACGAAAAAGGAGAAAGACAGAAACAACCCCACCAGTAAACAGAGACGATTGATCAGAAATGACGATGAAGAAGGCTAGAAAATTCCCAAGTAAATGATGTTCCTCCCACTAGACATTAACTCCAGTTCCCCTGCCTCGCGATAAGACGAAAAAATTAGGAAAAGCGAACAGCATAGAAAACTTTCGTTAAAAAAGAAAAAAGAAAAAAGAAAAAAGAAAAAAAAAGGCACCATTGAAAATATGGTGAGGAGACGGATTATGGTGTTTGTTCGCAAAGTTGGGAGTAATAGTGATTGAGGTCCATGAGGGCAGGTTGTGTGCGGAAATTGGATGATATAGTTCCGCTCGGGAAGAAAGAAAAAGGTGAAGAAAAATGTCAGCTTCGCGAGCTTATAACGACCAGCGCATTTACGACGTGGCCTTCTCTCCAGCCCTGAGATAATAAGCTCTCTTGTTCTTTGAGAATCTTGCCGAGGTATGCTATTCGGACGCGATGTTTGCCGGCAATCTGTGTATATGAAAGCGGTGGTAAAAAAAGGTCAGCTCAAAAACCTTCACATACAATAATAAACAATATATTGCCAAGGTCTCCAGTAAAAATGAAACGGAAAAGTTTGGTGGAGGAAAAACGGGTACATACCCCAGCCTCAGTCTGGATTCTACGCGCCAACGTCCCCACCGTTTGATTCTTCCCAATCATAACCGTCAAATCGGGACCTCCTCGATCACTTAACCTCGCAGATATTTTTATAAGGTCCCGTTCACTAACCTTCCCCTTCTCCTCGCGCCGCCTCTCAATGTCATCCACTGTGTCATCATCCGAATCTACATCAACAGCGAGTTTATTATGTTCAACACCCTCCGCGCCAAGCTCGGCAGTCGTAGCACATATCGTATTAACATCATTTGCCTCCGCAACTTCCTCAATAACATTAACCGGGTCCATGGCAATGGGTTCTGGAATCCTGTATAAAACACCGCTCTCGTCGTAGCAGCCATCACACAGGTCGCCTGTCGGGACGGTAATCCCTGCCGCATCCAAGATGCCCTGCGCGGTGGGCATATCCCCCGCCCGCACAAGCGAGGTAGCTGTTTTCAGCGCGGCCCACACTTCCGGCCTTCCAGTCACGCGCGTTTCAAAAAACAGTTCACGTTCGCGGGCGAGTTGTTCCCGGGTCCATTCGCGGCGGGTGCTTCGCCATATATGTGGCTGTACCGCCTGGTTATAGTGCACGTCCAGAGGGACGCCAGCTAGGGCTCGTCGGTGTCGACCCGATCGCGAGGTTGTGGAACGATTGTGATGGCTCTGGGCAGCTTCGTCGGTGGTCGTGCGATTGAGGATGGGATGCGTAGGGCTTGTGGGGGTGGGGGATTCGTCAGACTCTCCTATCGTAGCAGGTTAGCATGTGGCCTCTGACGCTGTGTTGGGCGCGGTAGAGAAGTTTCCTAACCTCGAGAGGAGGAGGATAAGCAGCAGCCCTAGATAAGAAGCACTGAGGTTAGCGATTAGCTGTTTACTATGCTAGACAGACGTACGAAAACGCAGAAGCTTGATATAGATAGGTAATTCGTAGTGGTGATAACAACAGCAGCAGATACACAGCAGTCAGGCTGCGGCGACGGGGTAGAAGGTTGGGTGAGCAGACGAACACCAAAGCGCTTGTAAAGAAATAAATGCTTAACAAGGGGTTCTCAGAGGGACAGAAGGAAGGGCAAGTATCTAGCTACTGGATGGGTTTTCTCCACTCGCTGGAGGGTGTAGTCGAAGCTTGGAAGACAGCTCCTGGAGCTTGTCTATATATATAAGGAGTTATATTGTACTGCACCTACCATCGTGCATGGTGCACAGCCATGTACAGGCTGTAGCCAATATCCCTACAGGGCCAAATCCGAGACAGAATGAGGCCAGATAGAAGAACAGGAGGAAAGGCGAGGAGAGCTGTGGTGGGATGGAGGTGGAGGAGTGATGGTAGTAGAAATCGCAGAAGGAGCACGAGATGACGAAAAAGCGGAGGTTATTTAGGCGAACTATTTACTAATAAGTTTCATAACTAAGACTTTAGCACAGCCAGGCTGAAGTAAATAGTTTGCAGACAACCAAATCAATAATAATCAATCAATCCAGTTTAGTAGAGGCAAATAAAAACACAACAGCCAGCAAACCACAGTGATCGTTACTGGTTGGCTTATTCTGTTTATATTTAGATTATATGATTTCATGCTGCAGGGTCTGTCTACGAGGCAAATAATAATAATAATAATAATATGCTTCGATTGCTCCTAAAAAGTGACAATAGCTGAGAAGAAGATCTAGACTCATGAGATAATCAACCCAAATAACTTTGTTTTTATACCGAGTTGCTTTCCTTGATTCATAATAAGGCAACGCAGCTAAATTGGAAGAGGAACGCAGGACGTCTCAACTTAGAAAAAAAAAAAAAAAAAAGTATTCAAATTAATCAAGTTACACAAATATCAGAATTATTGCGAGCTCGGTCTCCACATATCTAAAAGAAAGGCCAGGAAATCGATGACGAAGAAACATATCCTCCTGTTTCCCGAGCCTGCATCCTGGGGTCAGATTACGTAGGCTTAAACCAGGCGTGGAAGAACGTAACTTAGCTACATAGCTACTCAGTAGTACGGAGAAACTGGAAGGATAGCTGGATTTCTGCGAAAGTGATGTACTGTGCGAGGAGGGGTCGATCTTGAACTGAAATTACATATTTTACATTTTACAATATACCTACCTACCTTCCCACGCAGGCATAGTTATTAGGAGACTACTTAACCTCATCTTACTTTTCCTTTCCTCGGATCGAAGAGTGTTCTTCCCCACATCGCTACCAGCTCACCAGCAAACTGAACTAACCTCCCGTAGGACCCTCCTGCGGCGAGCTCTTTGGAAGAGGGGAAACTGTAGCAGATTCTCAGCGAATAGTGGTTAGATAGTTGATTGTCCACCATTGTTATCCATCACATCCAGATAGACGGATAGTGATATGAAGTAGAAAAATAGCTATTCACTTCACAAGTCCACCACCCACGACCGATGATAAACCATGTAAAAGGCAACGGGGAGTATGTAACTTGCCCCATCCGAAACATCAAATGAGGAGGGGGGTGTGGGAATAATTCTACAAGTGACCAAACAGGGAGTTGCTGAAGCGCTGAGAGGGGAGAGAGGGAGGGAGGGATATAATAACCTAACCAAAATTTAGAAATTCAGAAACCCCAAAAAAAAGGGGGGGAGTCAAACAAACTCATTTTTTATTTGTTATCCTTCCTTTCCTCCTTCCTCGCTTTTCACTCAGAAAAAAAGGAATTGAAAAGGCATCCGGACGGGATGAGGGCTACATACGGATGAATGGATATGCGTATATATTTCGTTTCAATCAATCCATATCCTCATCTCCATCCCCATCGCCCTCATCATCACTCCCAAATATGGCCTTGAAAACTGCATCGCCAGGTCTCTCTGCCTCCAGCGCCTCGTTTCGCCCAGGATCAACAACAATCTCCTTCCTCTCCAACGGTCGCTGATCCTGCCCTTGCTGCTCCTGCTGCTGTTGCTGCTCCTGTTGTTGTTCGCCCTCAGCCCAACCTGCACTCGCACATGCACCTGCCGTCGCAACAACCGCCCCTGCCCCCATCAGAATCCGATTCACCGCCTCCTTGGACAAGATATCCAATTTAGATCCGGAGGGCATGGTGGGCGTCCGACCAGGGCCGCCAGGCATATCACCCGCATCAACAGCGATGCTGGAAGGGGGCCGGACGTTGAAGCGTTTACAGAGAAGTCTAGAGGGGGAAAATGGGATGGATGATCGCGTCAGGGGCCCGTACATGCCGATTTCAGCGGCTGCTTCGGCGGGATCTTGAGGCTTTGGGTCTGGTCTGCGGATGAGGGGTTCGTGTTGAGCATTAACTGCTCCTGCTGGCGTCGAATGGGATTGTTGGGATTGTTGGGATTGTTGCTGCTGTTGGGAGATAGACGAGGAATCGAAGGAGGAAGTGAAGCGCGATGCCATCAGGCCAGATACCGGCCTGAAGACTTGAGCGGCACGCGCGAATTCTTGCAGCTCGGTTAGCCAGTCATCGGTTGTTGCGCCGGGGGCGCGATCGGGAAGCTTGTCCCGCAGGCCCGCGCGGACCTCAAGGAACGAACGGTATCGTGATCGTTTGGCTTCATCTTCCGCGTAAGGCATCCAGCCACTAATTCCGCGATTAAGGGCTTGTACGGCGACATCTTTATCTAACTTTGGCACAAGGTTCCATAAATCTTGCTGTTTCTGCGCCTCTGTGGTAAGGAACCCTTCCGGTCCCTTCTCCCCTAGGGCTGGAGGTAAATCAGTGCGCCCTGTAGCTTTGACAATCTTGTCACGCCCTGCTGGAGTCATGTAGTCGAACACCGATTTACCCGGTAATTGTGCTTCGCCCAGCAAAGCAGCTCTTGATGTAGGGTCCAGGGATGATGCCTTCGCGGCTTCAGCGCTTGACATGTAATTTTGGATTGGCCCTGTGCGGGAAGGGACTTTCGCGGATTTCCAATCTTTGGGGATTTCTGGCGCCGCATACTTCTTCTCCTGTGTTGAAATGGTCAATCCAGCAATTTCTACGCCATGGAGAAATCCGTCAAGTGGTAGACGTCCATCATGGCATTTCCTGAATCCTGCCTTTGTCTTCTCGGCTGCCACTTTTTTCTTCGAGATAAAAACGGGCTTGGTGCCTAATAATGGATTTGAGAGCCCTATTGACGGTTTCGTCACTGCAGAGCTGTTGCTGGATGTTTTCTTCGCTTTCTTGTCATGGTCAATAAATCGATTGTAGGAAATTTGCGGCCCCATTTCATAAGGGTCTTCGTCATCGGAACCAGTATCGTTTAGAACACCTACGCCAAAACCTCCCCTTCTCGACGGCTTTTGTTTACGAGAGTCGTTCCCATTCGTCGGGGGTTTAGGGCCGCCGAATTGATCAGAATCTTCCGCCTGAGCCAATGCACGTGGCTTGGCTCCAGTATCTAGCCTCACTGTTGCGTCCAGTCTAGCTTCCCCTTCAAATCCAAGTCCTTTATGATCATTTTTCTTCACGAATGATATCATAGGAGGGTTCGTCGGCGCAAAAAGATGGACTTTGCCTTCCGCATCAGCCCCATCGCCAAGGTCTGCTTTCCGTCGCACTTTTGGGCCAATTCCTTGTCCCTCCTTCCAACCCATTCGTTTCAGTAGCTTGACGCCAATTGTATCCCCAGTAATTTTGAAAATATCCATTAAACCACCTAGCCGCGTGGCATCAGAGGCCGTCGAGCCAAAACCGGCATATTCCCCAGCAGTTTGGAGTTTCCTCGCCTCTTCAGCTTCGCGCAGATCTTCCTCATCCATAAAGTCCTCCGGTCGTTGTTGGTGAGTTGGCTGTTTGTCATCTTTTGCGCGATTTCGACGGGACGATACAAAGGTCGATGGAGTCCAGCCCTCTTTCGAACCGACAGTATTGAAATACCTATAGATAAACCGATTTAATTTAGCCGTTCTGGATCCAGCTCCCCGGTCAATCGTGAGCTCACCCAGCACTGAATCCACCAGTAAAGGCACCATGAAGACGTTTCCTTCCCCGTTCATCCCTCACCTCCTGCTTCCAAACCGGAACATAGGAGCCATCGTCCCGGACTTCGGGGTCAAGTGGTGGTAAGGGCGTGCCATAGATGGCGTACGGAGCATGGAGATGCTCGTCTTCGAAAGTAGCCCTAGATCTCTTGGCAGACATGCTTGTAGTTATAGTCATGTGGTATTCCTTTCCTTTCCTGCTTCCTACTCCCTAACGTAAATAGAGGAGGGAGGGGGGTTGCTTCGCGTGGTGGAAATGGAGCCTTTCTCAAGGCCTCGCCCTCGAGGCTTCACCGTCTATGGACCGGACATGCACCAATCAGCTTAGCTGTTCTCCTGCTATAGCTGTTGGTGACGAGTCAATAGAAGTCTCCTGAGGTAGTGAGTAGTATGTTTAGAAGTGATCTGGCAGGTATTTGCCAGAGGAAGAGCAGATAATGATCTATATCATATCCTCGTGAACGTTGACGTAGAAACGGATCATACGCTGTAAGCTGGCCCGAAGCGGAAGAAACCTTGGAAACAATCGCAGTTGACCGCTCCAGCCACACCTGCACCGCCATAACAAGGTTCCAGGCGGGCTCACGTGGCTGGGAGCGTGACTAATCCGGATATCAGCTGTGGCGGCCTCGGGAACAGAGTGATGAAGTCGTTCCCAGTCAGTCGATGGATGGATGGGATGGGATGGGATGGGATGGGGACGGACGGACAGCAGAACTGAGTAACGACATAATAATAATAATAATAATAATAATAATATATTTGTTCTGCCTGGCTTCCTGTTTTCTGGTTGGTAGTTATCTGAGAGAAATTTTGTATGTTTGCTGTGTGTTGCTCTACAATCCAAGTCATCATCACAATACAATAACTACCATAGTTAGTTACCTCCGACAATCTTCTCTGCCTCGCTTTGGGCCCAAGGTTGTTTCGTTCGATTCTCCAGATCGCTACCTAGTTAACGTACCTATCAGCCAGCCCGCCTCAGCCCGCCAGCCAGCAAGGTAGTTAAACAAACATAAAAGCAAAAAACTCAAATCTCAATTTTGGAATCTCATAAATAGTTAACAGATCTGGTACGTAAATACGTAATCCCCGTAAAGAATACTCCGTACTGTTCTTTTCCCCCCCCAGCCGCATCCACCCCATTATTATTGATTATAGTTGATTGCATGCCTTGTTTACATGCAGAAAGTGGGCTGTCTGTCCCCATCAAAGAACATTCAAATAGACTTTCTTCCAAGCACATCTACAGCCGTGTCTTGCGTGATGATAACTAGCACCGTGTTGTTTGTTTCCTCCCCTCCCCTCCCCCATGTCATCATCCACCTACCCTACCCTACCTACACGCCTATTTCCGACACGCACCTCTCTCTCTCTTACCGCTCGCTTCTTCCCCTGCTCCCGCTAACAGCACTTGTTAGGCCAGCACCGCGTATCCTATCCTGCCTTAACCTCCTCCCCTACTAGACCCTCCCCCGACTTCTACTCTTCTGCCATTACGCTGTCGGTTATCCGGCTTGTTGCTTGGTATATGGACTCCCTCTTTCTTCGCCTCTGGTACCGTGTTGACCCTGAACTGCAGCTCTCCTCCACAGATGAAGCGGTGCGCAAGGGCTGATTCCTCACGACTTGGAGTATCCTGAGCATCCCTCACCTCCACTTCACAAGAGCGTATCACTACCAAAACAAAGACGGCCGCGAAACAAGTCACTCCTCGCACAAGAGTTCCTATCACACTTCATCGTTGTTCATCGGAACTTGAAACGGTCTTGCCATTTTCCCGGCTTCCACGGCCTGTGACCTTATACTTGATCGCAATGTCCGCTGCAACATCGGGAACTTCTCAAGTCATTGTTCGCAGCCACTCCACATCACGCCACAATTCGTCATATCGACCTTCTACAGACCTCCCTCACAGAGCCCGAAGCACAGCTACGAGACCTTCACAGTCCCATTCTCATAGTAGATCCAACTCCCGACCTCTCTCCTACGACCGGCCCCCCACTTCCAATCCAATTAACCCTGTTAACGTCGCGCGCCCAGCTACATCTCGCCGAAGCTCTTCGAGGGATCGTCCGCTGGATACCACGCAACAATATCGGACTGAGACTTCACGGCCCCATCGTCAAACTTCCTTTAGAACCAACCACGGTCGAGATAGTGTCGACATGGCTGGACCTGGAAACCCAGTGAATCCTGCAAATCCTCCATCTATACCCGCAGTGTCTGATGGCCACTCATACACCAACGGGGCCCACCAACGTGCTACTAATGGTGTCTCTCAAATGCCGCCGCAGTCAAAGCGGCGGACTACAATCACCACCTCAAGTGGGCAATGGGCACTTGGGAAGACAATTGGTGCGGGGAGTATGGGCAAGGTAAAACTTGCGAAGAACCTTGAGACAGGTGAACAGGTATGTAGAGATGACCGTTGTTCTTTCCTCTGAGATACAACACTAACGCCACATTTATTCTATTATTTAGGTGGCTGTGAAGATTATTCCTAGGCATTCGACCGAAGAGCATCGCGGTAACCGTGATGCGGAAAGGGCAGACCGCTCTAAAGAGATACGGACAGCAAGAGAAGCAGCGATTGTCACCCTTCTAAACCACCCCTATGTATGTGGGATGCGAGATGTCGTGCGGACAAATTACCATTGGTATATGTTGTTTGAATACGTGAACGGAGGACAGATGCTCGACTACATCATCTCCCATGGAAAACTAAAAGAAAAGCAAGCCCGGAAGTTTGCGAGACAAATCGCAAGTGCGCTTGACTACTGCCACAGAAACAGTATTGTCCATCGGGATCTCAAAATCGAAAATATTCTAATCAGCAAGACGGGGGATATCAAGATCATCGACTTCGGACTCAGCAATCTCTTCTCGCCTAAAAGCCAGCTGAAAACTTTCTGTGGTAGTCTGTATTTTGCAGCACCCGAACTGCTACAAGCGCGGCAGTATATCGGTCCGGAGGTGGATGTCTGGAGTTTCGGTATTGTCCTTTATGTTTTAGTCTGCGGGAAGGTTCCCTTTGACGATCAAAGCATGCCTCAGCTCCACGCAAAAATCAAAAACGGGGTTGTCGAGTACCCCCAGGGACTTTCCTCAGGTTTGCCCCCACCCCACCCAACACATATATGTTATATACATCCGTTTCAATCTATGAGAACTAACTCTTGCCTAGATTGCCGACACATAATATCGCGAATGCTGGTTACGGACCCGAAACAACGGGCTAGTTTGAATGAGATCATAAACCACCCTTGGATGACAAAAGGCTTCAGTGGACCCCCTGATAATTATATGCCTCATCGTGAACCTCTCCAGCTTCCACTTGATCCCGAGATCGTCCAAAGAATGACTGGATTTGATTTCGGCCCTCCTGAATTTATCGCAACTCAGTTGACCAAGGTTCTCGAGTCTGATGACTACCAGAATGTTGTGCGATTAAGCCAAAGAGAGCATTCTACTCCCAATCCGGCAAATGAGAAAAGGAGAGGGGTTTTTGATTTTTACAAGCGTCGGAACTCTGCGAGTAAAGACACGCTTTCCAACCCGTCTGCTGAGGCGGTACAGTCAGCTGGTGACTTGCTTAATGGCTATAATCCGTTGATCTCCGTCTACAACCTTGTGCGGGAGAAACGAGACAGGGAGAGAATTGAGGAGCGACCGGGTACACTAGCCATCCCGCCTGGCCCTGGAGAACCCACACTGAAAATGCCAGAAATCCCAGCTCCAGAGGCTGCTCATACTAACCAGCACGCTTATGAGATACCAGGTGAGAAGGCAACTGGCGGAAGGGCGCGACCAAGAGCACGAACCCATGGCGACGATGAGGTTAGAGATGGAATTAAGAATCTCAATATAGGACAGGCAGTCGGAGCGGGATCTCCACCCATGGTAACTACACCGGTTGAGCACATAAAGAAAGAAAGTGCTGCTGTCGGATTATTAAGACGTTTGAGCACTAGAAGAACACGGGAAAAACCAAGAGATGCTGATCGCGAAAAGGTTGCGACCCCCCAAGCACCTACCTTAAACATTCAGCCCCCAGAGGACCTTGTCACTCCTCGAAAGAGTTTCAGTGTAAGAAGGCCGAGGCATGAAAACACTCTTCCCGGTACTCTTCACTCTGGAGGAAGTCAGCCACAACAGCAAGAATTACTGCGTGCTGTCCGGTCTGGAGAACCTACCCTCAGAACGAAAAGTGGTCTCGGGCGGTCAGCTAGCGTTAATTCTGGCGAAAATCGGATCCGTAGGAATGGGAGGAGAGGCTTGGTCGATGGTGCTGTTTCGCAACCCATGCAAGATCCACCCTTGACCAGTGGATCTGACCGCTCCAGTTTGAACATGCCAAAATCGCGCCTGCAGCAGAATGATCAGTCTGGCCAAGATTCGAGGCCTAGCACACGCGTGCGGACATTGAGAACAAAATCACTCGGTCATGCGAGACGTGAAAGTATCCAGGCCCGACGAGCGCGTCGAGAAGAAACTCGGGAGGCAAATGTACCTGAGGAGACCGACGCTGAACTGAGTGGTGCTGGGACTGCACTGGAGAACGCAAACGCAGGAGAAGACTTCTCAAAGCCTGTCTTTTTGAAGGGCCTGTTCAGTGTTTCCACAACTAGCAGCAAACCTCTCCCCTTCATCCGTGCAGACATCATGAGAGTTCTGAAACAGCTTGGAGTTGAATTCGCGGAAATCAAAGGTGGATTTAGCTGTCGTCACGCCCCAAGCATCGACCTTAACCGTGTTATGGATGTCCGCCCGCCCAGCCCAGAGCGGGATGGGAAAGTAGGTGGCCACCGCCGGCGGATCAGCTTCGGCGGACTGCGGGCCCACGACAAAGATGAGAACCGGGATGAGCATAAATACTCAAACCCTTCGAGAACTCCACGCCGCCAACAAGGGCCTCCGGATCGAAGTTTTATCACCAATTCCGATGGTTCTGACGAGTACATGACTGCTCGTGATAATTACGGCGGCGGCGAGCGCGTCGTTGGCGAAACGACCACCAGAATCCAAAGCGATACTGGGAGCAACCTCGTGCTCAAGTTTGAGATATTGATTGTCAAAGTCCCCCTCTTCTCACTACATGGTATCCAGTTCAAGAAGGTGGCAGGGGGCATGTGGCAGTATCGAGAAATGGCGAAAAAGATTCTTGACGCTCTGAGGCTTTAGGTGCCGACCTCATCCTTTCCCCACCGACGAAGGAAATGCGTCGACAAAATAGTGCTTGCCTTACTATGCACCGCCGTACTACGTCCGTTTGCCAAACCCTTGTCATTTACCTTTTTTTCGCTTTTTTCTTTTCCTTTTTCTTTTCTATTTCGGTTATGCATAATATTTATTTCGACATTGGTGCGCCTCCTGCCTGATTTAATGTATATCTACTCAATTTCTGCTGCACCTTGTGCATTTACCAATTACGCCCCAGCGAGCTCCTTGGTGGTTGTCCTCCTTTGATCTGGTTTTTTCCTGCCTCTTTTCACCTACTTAATTATTCTCCTTCTCTTTGTTTTCGCCTTCATGCCACAAATCTTTGATGAGGAACACACTGATGAACTCTGTCATTGACTTATGATGGTTTTTTTACTATTTCTTTTGTCTTTTGTCTTTTTTTTTTTTTTTTTTTTTTTTTTTTTTTTTTTTTTTTTTTTTTTTTTTTGTTACTTTTTCTTATTGTTTCTTTTTTCCTCTTTTAATGAATGCCCTGTTATCTACGATTTTGCGGCCGCTTTTTTAATATTCAATCACTTTCCCATCTTTTTTCTGATTTGTTTGACTTTGATAATAGCAGAGTGGAGAAGGAAACCCCTATGAATTTAACACATCATATATTTATAAGAGTGTATGAAATGTCCAGATTGAAAACATAACTTTTTACTTTCTCTTCATGAATTTTATTGAAATTTCTTCAAGTCGCTTCTTTAATTTATGTTTTCTTTTCTTCTCGTAGATATTTATGACTCTTCATCAGTTTATCTTTTGATAAGAGTTGTAAGATGAGATGAAAATGAAAAGCGAGTTGAGATAAGACAAAATACTAACTAGTTACCTCATTTTCTTCACTCTTTATTTTAATATTGAAAATCTCAGGTTCACTTTTCAAATAAAAATTTAATCTCAGATGAAAAATATATTTTATATTTTTAATTATATTTTCATTTTGATCATGTTATTCATTATTTCTGTGGCGGAAGCCCTTGACTTCCGCCCCCCCTAATCTTCCGCTCCACCCTCGGGCCGTACGACGTACCTTCCTTCTTCCGCCCACACTTAGAGCCCTCCTATCTTCTTTCCTATTATAGCCCTTACGATCGCTCCTTCTATGACTGCAACAGGCATGTTTATTTGTATATAATAGAAGGCATATCCCTCTCTATCTTAGAAGAATGAGACATGATGATACTCTTTTTGCTATAGGCACCTAAGTGCACGCCTCAATTTCTTACTTATATAATATTATAATATTATATTCATTTTTTTGGAAAATTTAACAGAGAGTAAATGAGTCAATATTATAAACATTTAGACCGAATTATGATTATTTCATTATATTTGAACTTCATAATCAGCTACCGAGAACTATGCAGACCTATATATATAGCTGTCTCATAGCGTGAAAGAACAACTCTCTCTCTCAGTATTTGAAAATCTGACTCTATTATTCAAGACTCTTTCCTGAATTTGAGTTTTAAAGCTGGCTCCTTGCGGCAGCGATGGTACAACAAGGCTCCAGAGGAGGCAAGCGCCTCTCTCGCGACCGCCACGAGGACGAGGATGCAGTAGAGGAATTGTAAACACACACCCCGATTCCAAAAGCGCATAGGTAGCACCATCATATTGTTGACTCCAGGAGTCCTAATTCTACTGGGGATTCCCCAGGCTCCCAGAACCCCGATATTCCATGTAACTAGATAATGGTCGGGTCGTTTACAATGGGCATTAATAACCTCCTCCCCAGGGAAATGAGTAAATGAAAAATAATATTATCAAGAATCAACTATGTAACTCAGCAAATCAGCAGAACATTACTTTTAACTCTGAGAGCACACTAAACAGATTTATTGCTAGCAAGGTCTCCAAGTTCCAATTGAGCAATTGTGTCATCATATGCCTTAATAATAGGATTGTATAAGTGGTTTGGGTCTTGGGAAGTGCCAATAATAAGGCCTTCATCATTGTAAGGAAAGAGTATGTCTCATAGAGCCCTGCAAAGTGATAAAACATCATGAAACTTTGAAGAGAACTCCCTCAAAATGAACCCAAATCCCACATTTTCAGCTTTGCTTATATGACCAAATTTGACATTTGCAATGTTCTCATAGTTATCAGTATACCAGGCATGAAGTTTACTATTCTTAGGATGATTATTCTTTCTCCAGCCATGACAGGCGCACTGCCAGATAAGCATATAAAAGAAAGACTCAAGATTATGCTGATAGGTATGATCAATATTAAGCAGCACTTCAATTGTCATAAACTCCATTGTGCCAGTCTGATGCCATGCACCACTTCACCTGCTATCAACTTCTTTGGCAAGATCTAGATCAATTAGCATGTCAGAGAGATCATCTGTCTTATCTGGATTGATTATTATTATATTGTTCTCTGAAATATCCTGATGAAGAATGTTCCCATCCAGATATAGAGGCTGGTGTGCCTTTATTACATCGCGAAGGGCCTTGAGCAGCTCCAGGGGTGACTTGTATCTGTAGATTGACCGGCCAGCGGGTGATATCACAAGACAGTGAAGAACACGGTTGTCATAGAGTTCCTCACCATCCCTGTCAAATAGGCTTGGCTTGTGTGCTGACTGAATGGAGAAAGCTAGCTCATTCTCCTGCTGAGTGTCCTGTGACAGTTGATTGATGGGCTCATGCTCCTGCTGAGTGTCCCTTGACAGTTGATTGATGGAACGCGATCGTTTGAATGTCTGCATCCCCTTGTCTGGGGATCTGTGCTTTATGGAAGACGATTTTTGATGGAGATCTAGGCGACAGGGCTCAGTGAGCAGCTGAGATTGATGAAAGAAGAAGGGTGTGCTGGGGGGTGCACTTTTGAAGTCATGTTGCTTATTGTTGAAGGTCAGGCCGCAGCGCATGTCAGCAATACTAGTGATGACACTGTGGCCAATGATCCTGGCAACCCCTTGGACATTTTTTTGACCTGCTAGCTTGAGAACTTCTGCCTCTGGCTGCCGTTTGTCTGACATCTATGAGAATTTGGCTACACCCTCCATCTGTCCATCATTTGCAAGAAAACATGTTGTCCCGCGACACACAATGACATGCTGAAAAGAAAGCATTTCCCCTAGCTGCAGCATCTTTTCCTCTGAGTTTCCAGGCTCTTTGACAGTTATTGATTTGCTGCCACCTTCATCTCTAACAATAAAGATATCCAGTCCCAGCTTCTTATCACTCATCATGGTGTAACTCACAAGCACTTGAAAGAACTGTCTTGAATCTGTGTCAATGTTGATGATGCCTGAGCTGTAGAGATCTGAGCAGTCAAACACTCATGCTTTCATCTTGGTCCCACAGATTGCAAATGCATGGACAAACTGCCAGATGAGCTGGGCAGAAAAGATCTCATGCACATAGCGGCTCATCTGCAACAGAGTGCCTTTGATCCTGATCTCCTCCTTAGATTTTTTGAGCTCATCAACTACCAGAATGTCTCTCCAGTCATGTTTATTCTGTGAGAGACTCTCACCCCTAGCTCTCAAAAGAAGATCAACTTGCTGTTCTGTCTTTGAACCAGTAAGATCTGCTTTGCTTGCTGTGGTGTAGTAGATGCCGCATGATTTCAAGAGAAGATCTTCTTGAAGATGAAATCATCAGGTGAGGACATCAGCCTGTGTAGGAGGATCAGGGAACTGGGCCCAATTGCCATCATCACTGTCTGAGGCTAGCACATGTTGACAGATAGCATCTGCTTTGCTGCTCCAGTCTTTTCCCTCAAAGTACTTGTTGAAGAAGCCCTCAACATCTTGAAATTTGCAGTCATGTATCTCCTCAAAGATTCTTGGATTCACTAACTCAAGTGTCTGTTTGGAACCTTTCTGTGATGATGAGGTGGATTTGACTGGGGTGTTGTCAAAGGAGGGGGGGATGCTCGCTGATGGTGTTGTTCGAGGGATTGTGACAATGAGGTTAAATATAGCTTTCCAGATGTCGATGTTCCATTTTTCGACGCTCTGGAGTTCGATGTCTGGTGGTCTTTGGATGACTAGACATACTAGCAGCCGATACTCGTAGTATCTGAAGTTTCCTTTTGCCTTTTGGAGGCGCTCGACTAATTGTGCTAGATCAGATGCCACATTTCCATCACTCATCCGTGAGCGAAGGCTGTAAGCTGCATCCTCTCCCTGTAAAGCTGAGAGGAGTCCCGAAGTCGCCCCCTGATAGAGTTGGTCAAGGCTGTTGAGAGGGCGCGACTCATAGATTTTTTCAGCTTCCTGAAGCACACCTTGTAAACTATTGACTGAGTTGGTTAGAGGATGGTTCTTGATAATGTCGCGATCTCCCTGTGAAAGTTCCGCCATTTTGACGGTATAAAAGATCCTTAATTTGGTGCGAGTTGAATTGCAAGGTTTGTCGTTGTCACCATAGATTTTCTTGGCTAAATAGGCAAATGACTAAATAAGCAAGAAATCTCAAAGATATCTTCAAATTAAACGGCTAATATCGGATTAAACCTCAAGAGTCGTCAGTAGTAAGTAGCACTAATATTTTATTGGAGGAGGGAAGGGTGTATAGTCAGAGGATGAAGTGGTGGGATTTCATCCACCAAGCTGCCTATTTATTTATTTAACTTTATATTTGATGTGAGTGTCAAGCAACATGTCCATTCTATTTGTGACTAAAAGGTGCCTATATAAACTTCAGAAGGATTGAAAAACAGCATTGTTTGAGGAGTGAACATCTTTCTGCTGTTACAGGAAACCGATATTGGTCCAAAAGCTCAGTACTATTCCCAGCAAAACAACCACCAACATACCTACCTACCATTATGAGAAGCCAGTCAGCGCGCAAGCATGCCGGAAGAGATGCATCGACACCCACACATTTAGATCTAAAGAATCTAACCAATTTGCATTTCCCAGGCTGGTGCCACCGCTTTAAAAGGAGAGAGAGAATACATCAAAACAAAATTGTTTCAGAAAGTGGAATATGATCCAAGTGCAAATATGGACTCTCCACTATAGTGGAAATGGGATGAAAATACGGTCAACACATCTCAAATTCACCTAGGCACAAGTCCAACCTTCTCAATCAATTGCGTTCCTTTCTCAAATCCCACTGACAAGGTTATAGATATATCCTGATTTTGATCCGTCAGAGCCAGCGCATTGACACAATCTGTGGTTAATAATCCTCCAACAATACACTCCCATTCCCATAGTTTGCTCCTCTGCACAGCGTTAGAAAGTCTTCACCTAAGAGCGGGATTGAAGTGATCAGCGCTTCAGAGTATCTATATTCAATCCCTGCATTGTGTAATTCATTGTTAGGTTCATGTAGTCAATTTGGAAGGACTTCTCTTTAACTTACATCTATGCTTTGGTATCTCACCAACTTCAAATTATGCCGTAAGGACGAAAGGCCTAAAATAACCTGGAGGATCAACATTTGCCCGTGGTATATCCCTCATCTCAGTCTGGCGGCGAGGACACAATTAGCGCAATACTATTTGTGTACCAACTAAGCTGTTAACCCTGCTCACTATGACAGAGAAATATGACTTCTACAGATGATTTTCAATTCTTCAATACTCTTTTAATCGGATTGACTGATTTTTTTAATAGACAGTATAAAAACAGATGTAAAGTGAAAGTGATCTGTCAGTGCACTTCTAGCAGACATTTCATCTCTGAAGAGTATTAACTAGATTAAAATCTACATCATCTCTCAGCTATCAATCTGATAGATAATGTGAATCCATACGGAGTACACTATTCTAATAATATTAATTCAGGCCAGATAAAATAGATTACATAAATTACACTAAAATATGTCAATACGGCTGATCTCTCATATTATCCAGTAGTTTTCGTGTATTTAATACGCTAATGTACACGTTAAAATACGCTAATTGTATCCTCGCGGCCAGGGGATAACGGAGTAACGTCAGACAACAAGCCAAGCCAGCTGATTAAGCAGGAGAGTTAACTTTAGTATATTGAGTGTAGTATAGTATGCACCGGTAGGCTGCAGCACCGCATGGGTCTAAATAAAGCTGCTTAAAATATGGCCAATATTCAACAATAGAAGAAAAATAAAATTGGAGAATACTTAAGGGAAAAGAACTAGAAGATGGTTTGATTGTTACTGCCAAGTTCATTCATTGTTTGTAAACTGAGTGGAATAGAACAGAATGAAGAGATTGATTGATCAATGTACAGTACATACATGATTCCAGAAGGTCCAGAAGACATGGACTGGAATGAGAGCTGATGACTCACTGAGATATAAACATGCACTATTTGTCTGTTTTGTCTCATTCCTCCTTGTTCCTTCCCATTCCTCTTGCTCTCAAGGCACTTGATATTCTTTGCCATGGAATCTGCTAGAGATGCAGTAAACTTTTGCCAAAAACTTGAGAAAGGGGAGATCCCGACCCCTTAAGCTTTCGCCAGAAACGAAGATACTAGCTCTTCTTAATAGTGGCCTACCTAACGGAAACTCAAGAACTCGAGCACACAGGCAGAAAAAAGCACCTGCTGGACGCGAGATGCTCTTGCTTTGCGCGCTTGTATATTCCACTTCGGGTCTGTCAAAAATTGTATTTCCAAGATTCTATCAGGAGCTGACGGAATGGCCACAAAGAGTGTAGTTCTCAGAGCCAGTAATGAACCAGGCCTTCAAGCTTTGAAATGAATCAGGCTAACAAGTATTTCTACAACAAAGTTCCACTAGGTCAAATTATTGTCAAGGGGTCAAAGCAGCACTTCTTTCATGTAAGATCTCAAGTTCTCAATAGAGTCAACACAAAGAAAACATTAAGTATAAAATTAAGATCAAAATGTTATTAAGTTACTTGTAGTAAATTAAAATTTAAAGTCTAATCTTTTTAATGAACAATTCAATACTAAGTATTAATATACAACTCATTTTCAAAGTCTGATAAATATAGATATACTTTTAAATCTCTTGAATATCTTAAAATCTTCTATACACTTTATAAAAACTTGATAGATTCTCAGTAGTACTCAGCTATTCTCATAATTCTGATACAGAATTATATCATATTACTTATTCTATTAATTTCACAAACTGAAACAGTACTGAAAAATAATTAAGTATAATTTATTTAGTATATTTAACTTTGATTATTCTTTTATATAATAAGTTTCATCTTTATCAGTATTATTTTAAAAGTTTATAGTTAGTAATCACTGATAATTAATATCTGAATGCAGAAATAAATAATATTAATCAGAGAATAAATATAAAAAATATTTAATATTTTAAAAATTAATAACAGTAGAACTTTATTAAGTTTTAAAAAAGTATTATATTAAATTATATTATTTTAAAAAATTATTATTAAATAATTATTTATATTACTTTTTAAATATTTAATTAATTTTAAATATTTAAAAATAGTATTAAATTAATTTAAATTAATTTATATAATTAATTTGAATAGAACTATTTAATAATACTTTTTTTTAAATAAATATATCTGTTAAAATAAAAATAAATTAATATATTATTAATTATAATTATATTTTAAATTTTATTATATTATAAATTTAATACAAGTTTATATAATACAAGTTTTAATTATATATTATATTATTATTATTATTAATATTATATTTAAAAAATAATTAATTATATTATAATATATTAATATACTGTAATTTAATTTTTATATTTAATTTTAATTTAATTTTAATAATCAGTCTATTTTTACTTTATCAATTTTATTGTTATTTTTAATATAATTAGAAATGATTAATAATATGTAAAATAAGTAGTTAACTAACTAGTTAAGTTAGTTAATTAATTAATTTAGTTAGTTAATTAAAAAAATTTATTTCTTTTAAATTTTAATATATTTATCAATAACAACATTTTAATTTTAAAATGAAATAATATCACACAACTATTTCTTCTAGCTTTAATCTCTTTATTTCTCTGTTTACATTGCTTTTATTGAAATTGCAGAGTTTATTTTTGAAGCTTGCACTATCTTTTTGACTTTGGCTCTGTATTCAGCACTTGTGCAAAGATAAAATGGTTATTGATCTCACAAGAGATTCCTCCGAGGATGAGCTTACTTATGATGTGAAACCAGTGAGTTTCCCCTTAGCAAAGTGCAATATTTTTATTAGTGAGGATTTTTTGGCAGATGTGCTCTAAAATTTCAGCATTTTGATTCTGATATCATCTCTCTTTCTGTTCTTCCTTCTGTTGGTCTTTCTCTTTTCTTCACGTTCCCAAACATTTGAACAAAACCGTGCTTTAGAGATATCTCTGTCTCAAGCCTCTGTCATGCCCATCTCAATGCCCATCCCGTTGTGTTGGCCATCACCGTCTTCTCTTGGTGTTGCTTGTTTGGATTTTAGATCACACTAACTGATTTAGGCAATCCCAACCTCACACCTGCAACGAGATGAAGGGCTCATCTTGCTGCAGCAGTTCACGCGCCCGAAATCACAGCCGGGAAGCAGTTCAAGTGGAATATCATCGTCGAACGATAGAAAGAGCAAAGCGTCCACGGACGGCGAGGTATCGACCAACGAACCATCACTAAATTTCGCGATTGTCGTGCCCTCCGTCTCTGGTAGCGACACAAGCAACAAAAAGCGACGGTTGAGCTGGGAAAACGACTGTAGCTCGCGGGTGAATGGATATTCTAGTTTCCCAAGCCATCATGGCCTGTCACCATTTTACTCAGTGGAAGGGAGCAGCAAAGGACAATCCTACCAGCCCAAGCACGGGGTAGATCGGCCCAGTATTCAAATTAAACAGCCAGCAGTGCGCTATCGTCCCTGTCGAGCCAATAACGATGAGAATCTCCTATCACTCTACGCGAAAAAGTTACGGAAGATCAAGGGACCTGCTGTGACTCTAAATATAAAGGCTTCAGACACTTCCAAACTTGATTTCAACTTTGAGTTCATCAATGAATACAAGCTTCAGCATGGGGTTGTGCGTGTTGACGCAGATTTCCATGCAGGCTGTCGATGTGAAAGAAAGTGTGATTTGCACAACTGCGACCATCTCTCATATGAGGTAGACTCTGAAGATCGCATTGTTCCCTATCAGATGGGCCGGGGTGGAAAGATTGTCCTCAGACAAGATTTCCTTAAAAGGAGGGCTATGATATATGAATGCTCCCTACTTTGTTCTTGCATGCCAGGTTGTTGGAACCAGGTTGTTCAAAAAGGGCGGACTGTTAAACTGGAAATATTCTGCACAACAAATCGTGGTTTTGGTGAGTGAACCTCGCATGCGTCTCTGTTTTATCTATAGTACCGATGAATACTCATATCTCTTTCCCACAGGCCTACGCTCTCCAGAAAGCATACAAGCAGGACAATATATCGATAGGTATCTGGGCGAAGTAATCACCACAAAGGAAGCTGATGCCCGCGAAGCTGCGACTCCAGGACATGCAGCGAGCTATTTATTTCAGCTCGACTTCTTTTCCCAGGATGACGACTACTACGTAGTTGACGGAAGAAAGTATGGGTCTATAACTCGCTTTATGAACCATTCTTGCAACCCTAATTGCAAA